TGCTTGTGATTTAACTTTATGTAGGTCTGAGAGGTAATCTGCATCTGCATATCCCACTAAAGTAGCTCTTGACTTTTGATAATAAAATAATCACAAATCAATAGTATCATTTAGGTTACAAAAAATATTTTCAACACCATTCCAATGTCTTTCAGTTAGTGTAGAGCTATATCTTGTAAGTAAATTTACTAAAAAATTATGTCGAGCCAAGTGCAGTTTCTAAGATAAGTGAATGCTCCAATTGCACTAAGATATGATACTTCAAGATCAAGAACCTTTTTTTCCCATCTTCAAGTAGATGAAATGAATGTTTTTCACATCAAGTGATCGAACAATCATAGATAATGTCCATTGATACACATTATCCATATAAAAAAATTTAAAGACTTTGTCTATATATATAAATTGATGAACAAATGATTTTTTTGAGAAATATTCAATTTGAAACCCAAGACAGAATTTGATTTTTCTCAAAACTTTCATCTCAAATTCATTTTTTAAATAATCGTCAGTTTTATTGAACTCTTCAAGAGTTACAATTAAATTTAAATAATCAACATAATTGCCACAATTCCAAATCTAATATTTGTTTTCTTTATAAAAACACATGGATAGATATCGTAATTTTTACAGTCTTCATTCAACAAATATTCGTTAAGGTGATTACACCACACGTTTTCATTTCTTTTGGTCTATCATTACTTCAATCGATATATTTTCAACGTATTTATTTTGATTCATTGCTCTATAATGCTGTATATCTTGTGCAAAATTGTCGTTGATACTTTTCCTTTTCGATTCAATTTGTTTTCTCATAATGACAAAACTTATTGAGATATCTCAAATTTCATTATTTCAGGTACTTGAACCTCTTCTAATATTTTATAATTTATTATGTCTAAAACTCATCGAGAGTATATGTCTCTTTAACGAGACCATCTTTGTTAATTGCTCAATTTTTAGAATTGAACACCATCACGCTTCGGACACGTCAAAAATATATCAAACATAATGACATAACTTATTATGATATCTTAAATTTCATTATTTCAGGTATCCGGACTTTTTCTAAGATTTTATAATCTATTATGTCTAAATACACATCAAAAGTATATGTCTCCATAATGATATCATCTTTACTAATTACTACATTTTCATTTTCATTTGATTTTTATTTTTTTGGTTCTTCAACTGAACGCTATCACGCTGCAAGCATGTCGAAAATATATCAAATATTATAACATAACTCATTGAGATATCTCAAATTTCATTATTTCGTGTACTTATACCCCTTCTACGATTTTATAATTTGTTATGTCTAAATACTCATCAAGAGTATATATCTTCTTGATGGGACCATATTAGTTAATTGCTCCATTTTCGCTTGAAAATGTTTTGTATTAGAATCGGACACTATCACACTTTAGGCATGTAAAAAATATATCAAATATAGTACTAACAAATTGTCCTCATAGGATATCAATTTGTGTTGGAGCATTTAAAACTAGTGCATGAGATATCGTTTATCCTTTTTATCAATAAATGCATCTAAATAAAGTATCTTTCGAAATTCTGGTTCAAATGGTATTTTGTCAGGATTTAGATGATGATTGATTTATATATTATTTTCAACTTCATAATTCCACCCCCTAATGTCGAGAGAATTGTCCAATCAAATTGACAATAATTTTTTCAGCGTTATAAAATATCGCCCATTTAGGATAAGTGCTCAAACTACACATTTATTCTCAACATTCTTTATTTTCCATTTCAATGCATCGTGATGGTTCAATTATATATATATATATATTTTACTATCAAAATAATTAAATGGAAATAGGCTCTGACCATAAGCTAATTATAATAGGAAGAACTATGATATTGGCATGATGCATAATAAAATTTTCTAAATAAAAATGGAAAATATGTTGTGCTCGGTTAAATTATTTGGAAGTATTTAACAAATAATAGTGTTAAATCATTTATCGACATCCCAACAAATATTTATTAAAATGTTGAGATTTATGCCCACTAGCATTAACAAGACAAGTGTTGATTATATAATTTGAAAATTATGCTTATAATTTAAAATTTGAGCAGTAATTTCGTAAATTTCAGCTTGCGAATACTATGCAATTATCTAATATATGTATCAAATTTATTAGATACAAATAATTTTTAGATGATCTACATGGAGGATGATGTAACAACATTTATCATGTTGATTAATATTCAGAAGTACACATAATTCGGTCTCTATGTTAGATAGTGATGTTTAATGATCAATTTTCAACAAAAAGAACAAATAACATATAGGAATTCATTAGATAGAAAAATCTTTTGGTTCCTTGTTGGATGTTTATTTGAATATTGATTTTGCACTATTGTTGATCCAGTGATGATCTAACTGGTTATGTCAATCAAATTGAACTTCTAGTTCAATATAAGATATAAATCAATTATTTAATTTCAAATATTATGATTAAACATTATATAATCATATAGTGATCAATGTTTACATGACATGTTGTATTTTTTTTTTCAAGGATAAACACAAATTCATGAATTACGAATGATATATTTTTCAAAACATGTGTTATTTCAAGAGCACGTTGCATTTTATTATCGCTTCTTCAAGAAAATATTCTTCTGAAATATTGAATCGTAGTGTTATACTGTTCAGGAGCAATGACATATTAATATTTAAAATAATAAATTGTATAAGAATATACTCTTTGAGGGTAAAAACATATTTTAATTATGCTATTTGAGAGCAAATAAAATATTATTAAAACGTAAAAAATAATGTGCTACTTGTGAAGTAACAGCAAATTATTATTAGAAAACGTTAACTCTTCGAGAGGATATTTTCTATGAAAATATAATATTTATAAAGTCGTGCTTTTTCAGGAGCAACGTGTCAATATTATTTTGGAATCTTGAAAATTATAATTCATACTTTTTAGGAGAATATAATATTCTTTTAGAATATTTATTATATTGTTGTGTTATTTCAAAAGTAACAGTATAATAAATTATTAATATAAAGTTTATAGTAGAACATTTAAAATTATTTAATTACCATGTAGACGTTATATGAATTTATGTACCACAATTAATTACCAAAAATGCTTTTAGTAAAAAAATCTTTAAAACATGCATATAGACCATAAATAAGATGAGATAATTATTATGCATATAATGAAATAATCATTGTAGATTTGCGTATAAGCAAAAAATCATATAAGAAGTAGAAGATGAAGCAGCATCGTTTTGATGTATATGTACGTAGAAAAATTCACTTGTTATCAAATTAATTTTGGTCACTTGATAAATATTTATGTTTATAAAAAATTACTACCTTCATTAAATTTTGGAAAATTAAACTGTCGTACTGATAGCGTGTTATGAAAAGAAAGAAAAGAGAATAAAATAGAGAGGATTCAATAGACTTGTATGTTTTATTAAAAACCAAAACACTATATTATAGAAAAAATCAGGGATACAACAGTAATAATTTATAGGGTGACAATGATATAATTGTCATTCACTAATAAACTTGCGATTTACAGCAATTTAATTGTTTTCAAAGATTCTTCAACAAATTTATTTTAGTTTAACATCGGATTATTTGACAAAAAAAAAATAAATTGGGACTTTAATGTCAATTGCAAATGAGACCTAAATGACTGATTTTAACAATCCCTAATTGGACTTCATTAAAAATAGATTTTTTTTGGAAAAATATGTTTTGAAATAGTGATTTTTAGAAGAATATATGATTAAAAAATAAGGAAAAAATTTTGGATTCATGTGTAATAATATTTTATTGAAAAACATGTAATGAAAATAAGAAAGATAAAAATGTATTTTTTTACAATAAAAATAAAAATGGAGTCCAAACAAGGGCAAATAAATTACTACTGAAAATATGTAATTTTCTTATAAGGGTCTGTTTGATTGCGAAAATGGAATTTGGGTGGAAAGAAAATGAATTTCAGGGAATTGAATTACATAGAAATCGTTTTCCTGGAAATTGTAAATTATTGTGTTTGATTGGTATAATTTTTTACGTGGAAAATGTTGAAGTAAAAGTTTTTTTGGTGTTCGTTTGATTTTGTTTTATATGAAAATTGTCAAATTAAATGATATCCACTTCTACCACTGTTCCTAGAATTTGTTTCCATTGCCAACAAAAAAAAAAGGAAAAAAAAGATAAAAAAATCATCTATATTTTGGTATTCGTTTGACTTTATTTTCCATGAAAATTGTCAATTTCAGGGATATCCACTTTTATAATTGTTCTTAAAATTTGTTCCCATTGCCAACTATAAAAAAAAAAGCAAAAAAAAAAAAAGGTGGAAAATCGAAAACCACCTACCTTTAGGAAAATAAAATATGGAAAATCACGCTTTAAGGTGTTGTACCTAGAAATTCATGGAAAATCAATTTTCTGAAAAATTTTGTCAATCAATACAGGCCAAAAGTGAAAGTTGAAATTCGAATTCCAAATTTTATGGAAAATTTCGTGCAATCAAACGGGGTCTAAGTGTTTTTGTTCATAAGTAAAAATGTAAGTTTCAAGATAAAATATTATTTCTACTATTTATAATTTTTTTAAAAAAGTACTAATTTCAACAATAAAAATTACTATTCAAATAAGAATTTTTCATTTGAAAGTAAGAAAAATGTAACTCAATCAAAACATGTATGTAAATAAAAACTTAGGTATTGTTTGTTTCTCATTTTTTGGCAAAAAAAAAATGAAAAATATGACTATTATCCATTATATCAAGTCACCAATTTGAATTTTTCTCTCTTATATTGATCTTATAACGACTATATTTTTTATTTTTATTCTTATAATAATGGAAATCAAACGGTTAAAAGGCACTTTTATTTACTTTTGAAGCTATCCAAACAAAGCTCAAGTACCTGTCCAAACTTCCATAAAAAATGGTCCAATTTTTGTAGCATTCCGCGCCTCTTTCATTATTCACATTTTGAAACCCCCATTTTCTCTCTCTACACAATCTTCCCTCCATTGTCTTCCCGCCTCTTACCCCAACCCCACCTATTAAACTCTATCCCTTCTCCCTCTCTAACTCCCCTTCTCTCTTTCTCCCTCTCTATACATATTTATACTTGTATCTATAGTTGTAACTGCGCAAAAATGGAGCGCCGCCTCAGGAGACACTCGTCACCCAAAAGCAGGGAGGCGTACCTCCGCTACTTGAAGCCTGGCGCGTTGGCTCAACTCAGAGACTCGCGTATCAGCGCCGCCCGTACTCACCGAGTCACTAAATCGGTCGTCCAGGCTCAGATCTGTGCTTCTCCGTCCCGTTCTCCCTCAGCTACTTCCCCTGGTTCACCTACGCAGATCAACGGCCCTCCGTCCTCTCCCTCGTTCTTCTCGAGCCGGATCTACGGCCCACGTTGCCCTCAAAGGAAGAAGCTTATGGCTGCTAGAGCTGTTTTTGTCTCTGGCCCGAACTTCTCAGGAACTGGCCTGGATTCACCCGGCCAGGGTATGGATTTGATTAGTGGAAGTGAAAATAGTTCCAATAATAACATTCTAGTAGCACATTGAATGAAATGTGAAATTGCTGTTAGTAGATTGGTTATTAATTTTAGGGATCCTTTTGTGGATTATGTGAAAAAGAAAAAAATAGAAGCGGAAAATTCGGTTATTATATTACCCTTTTGGTTCTTATGTCTTTTATGCAATAAAAGCCATTAATTATTCAACCTTGTCATCCATTTAATACAGTTGTTAATTATGTGCAATGATGTTACTATTCACTCTGTTTCTAGTGTTAGGGTTATGATTTATGGTTTCGTTGAATGAATTACAACAATTGATTAATATGTTGAAATTCATTTAATGTTTCAGCAATGTCATAATTCCATATGTTATTTCAGTATTCAGCTTTATTATTACCTAGTTATTATGGATTTTCCTTCAATAAATATAATCATGTTCATTTATTTAGGTTCGGGTTTAGTCTCACTTTTACGGTGTACTTACTTTGATTGCCAGGTGTGCCATGGTAAATTAAGCTCATCTGCTTAATTTCTTGACTGGTTAGAAATGCCGTGCAGGCAATTTACTTTGAGAGAGTTCATCGTTGAAGGATTGTCATATTCGATGCTTCGTATCCCTTCAGCTGATATTCTGAAGTATAAATAGATATTGTTAGCGAATAAGGCCAACTAGAAGTTGTTTTTGCTTCCATTGGGTATTTTTTCTGTGCTTATGAAGATATATTCTGAACTTCAAGCTTGATGACATAATCTTCAATTTACTGTTCTAATTTAGATATAGCCAACTTGAGTGTTTTTTCAGACTTCAAAAGCTAACCAATGAGGCTTGAGAATCCAAACCCATATATACCACACAAAGAAAATTTATACTTTTGATTTGGGATTTGGGTTTTCATAAACCCCAATGGGAAACCATGACACTATGCTAACCGCTAAGCATTCAAAATGACTCTTTTCAGGTTGATAACCGATGGCCATTGGTCTCGGTAAATTTATGTTAGTCACGCTAGGGAGCACCTGTTTGCATCTTCAGCACCATTCTTTGCACATTGAAATGCCATTTGTACACTTGTTTTGACTTCTTGCTGTGTGAAGCTTCTGATTTGGAACATTACTTAATTACTCATTTTGATGGATTTGCTTCTTGTTGGCCAGTTAGCATCTGTTTGGCAAATTTATAAAGACGAACATTGGTGGGTCCAATTTATTGTGTGATTAATAAATGAGTGGTTATTATAAGAGCCTATTTGGGAGTAATTTTTTCTTCTAAAAAATTGATTTTTTGACTGTTATTTTACCATTTCAGTCGTTATATTTGACTTCTTCTTTCATAGGTAGATCCCACTTTTTTCTTAACGGGCAAAAAATCAATTCTCAAAATCACTCCTAAACAAGTTCTAAATATGTGATTGAAATATGTTTGACTTTGATTTTGACTAAATTTGATTTATAAATTGGTAGCTATGTGTTGTTAGAGAAACTAGTGGCTCCAGCTCCTAGCTAGAACATTTGATGCACCTACTAAACTGGTTGATTGTCTTCATATAGATGCCTCTAATCACTATTTGAGAGAATATGGAGACTAAAGTTGTGTAATGGTAAATATTCTGCTTGAGCGATTTATACTCTTCATAATTTTTCATTTCCTTGAACAAGTATGTTTCGAAATACAACAAGACCCTGTGATTTTTTGTATTTCCAAGGATTTATCTTGCTTAGATTTTATGTATGCTGGAATTGACATATTGAAAAGCATGCTTTTAGGGGTTGTGTAATGTTGTTAAAAGTTGGTAGTTTTTATGAAATGTGGTGAAATGGTTGATAAAAGTTTTGGTCAAGTTAAGAGTCCATTTGATAGAATTTATTTTGGAATAATGGTTTATTGAATAACATTTTTTGAAAAATGTGTGGTTAAAAAATAAATAAATTTTATTGGTTTGTGTGTAGAATATTTTATCATGTGAATGTATGGTGGAAAATGATCTTGTAGCAAATAATTTAAATTTTTAATTGATGAGAAACAGGGATTAAAAATGAAGTTTGTGTTAGAATATTTTGAATGATGAATGAAAAGTTACGGCTAAAAACAAAAAAAAAAAAGAAAACACAACAAAGAAAAAAAAAAGTTCAGTTTCCTCCTCCATTTCCAGCAGCCCCAGTTTTTTTTCTTTTCTTTGCTAAAGTTCTTTGAGAGATAGACACAGCTAGTTCGTAGGTCGGTAACGTTGTGCAGCGTGAACCGTCAACCGATTTTATCCTGGGAATCGAACACCGATTAACACCTCTTGCACTTCGGTGAGGCGGCGAATTCGATTTAAGGAAACCGTGTAAACACGGGCCTTCGGTTTTGGTTGATTTATTCTGATTCTCCAATTTTTCCTACAAGCTTAAATCGAATTCTCATTTCGGGAAATTTTGAGAATCGGTTTTTTTTATTACTGTCGTCTTTTTTTTTTCACCTCCAGTTGTTTGCTGTTTACTTAATTTGTCCTTTAGGAAAAAAGGCTGACAATCTATCTATTTAATTACGTGCAGTAAATTTATTAGGTTTAAATCAGTAAGGTCGAAAGAAAAAAAATTTGGTTTACAGGAAGTTTCTTAGTTCATGCCTGCGTGGTTTTGGTTCTACAGTTTATTTTTCTCGAACAGATAACTTGATCTCAAATCTATAATTATTCTAAATTGTTTGTTGCGCGTTCTAAGGTTAAATAGCGTCACATGGAAATGATGATGTGAACAATGGAAGCAACACTATTGGGACCGCTGTGAACCCTGTGGAGACCTCGACTGGCATTCCTCCTGTTGATGGGACAATTGGTGGCGGGATTCCTCTTGTTGGAATGAACCCCACTTTGCCTACGGCTGCGGCCTTGACAATCCAGTTTGGCACAATACCTTTGCTAGTACCTAGGGTTGCGGCCTCGGTACCTTTGCCATTGTTTCCGGCTCCATTTCCGGTGAATCATGCAATTCGACCGGATAAGTTTGCTGGTACAGATTTTAAGACATGGTAGAATAAGATGATTTTTTATCTTACCACTTTGGGCCTTGCACGTTTCCTCACCGAGGATGCCCCTGTTGTGGCTGAAAACGACACTGATATGCATAGGCGTGCGGCTTGGGATGCATGTAAAAGTGCTAATTTTTTGTGTCGCAACTATGTCCTGGATGGCCTACAGAATTCTCTGTATCATGTGTATGTGGTAAAGAAATCTACTAAGGAGCTTTGGGAGTCCTTAGAAAAGAAGTACAAGACCGAGGATGCTGGGTCTAAGAAATTCTTAGCCAGTCGGTGCATGGACTTCGAAATGGTTGATTCACGTTCAGTGGTGAGCCAAGTGCAAGAGTTCCAAGTGCTCTTGCAAGAAATGCATGCTGAGGGTCTGATCATGTCAGAATCTCTACAGGTGGCTACTGCTATTCACAACCTACCTCCTCAGTGGAAGGCTTTCAAAAGCTATTTGCAGCATAAGAGGAAAGAGATGTCTTTCGAGGATTTAATTATCAAGCTGCGCATTGAGGAGGATAACAAACAGGCTGAACGTAAGTCAGGGAATTCTTACTCTGAGAAGGCCAATGTCCTAGAGCACGGCCAGAGTTCTGGTACCAAGAAAGGTCATTCTTTTAAAGCCAAACAGGGAAACGAAAATTGGAAAGATAAAAAGCAGACCAAGAAAGGGTCTCAGATGAAGCCTACCGGTGGAGTAGGAAAGAAACCCAAGTTCCAGTTCAACGGAAAATGCTTCAATTGTGACAAAATTGGGCATCGATCGGCAGACTGCCGTCAGCCTCGGAGGGATAACAAGCAGCGTCCTCAGGCTAATATGGTTGGAAATGAGAGAGGTCATCTCTCAAATGACATGTCTGACTTAAACCTCACGGCAGTGATTAGTGAGGTTAATCTGGTGGGGTCTAATACTAAGGAGTGGTGGCTAGACACTGGGGCCACTTGCCATGTCT